ATAGGGTACAATAGATCTGCCGTGATCCCATTTGTTGCAAAACATGCTATGGGTATTTCATATGGAGGACAGTCAACGTGTCATCACTACTTCTATAGTGGTTGCAAGTTTAGGCTTTGTATCCTGCAAAGCCTAATGTTCAACAGTTCATTCCCTGTCTTGTCAAGATCTACACATCCTACATGTTCTCCACTCGTCCTGTCATACACCAAACCTTCGGAAACTTTGATTTCATCTTACAGGATTCCAACATGTGATAGGTGTGACTCCTGAAACCTGCCACAATCTTTTGCTTCCTTCAGTAAGTGTTCAGCAAAGTCAGGGTGAAAGCCAGTCTTATTAGACAAAATGTGTGAGTAGTCAAGTAGTGTCCGCTCACTTGGTAGTGAAACAAACCCAGTATTTCTCATAGCATCATATGCCTTGGAACTTTTATTTCCATGTATAAGCGCCATATTATGATCATTGGGTGCCATCGCATGCTAGACTTGTTGGATAATTTGGTCCATTTACATTGCTACTCCCGGAAGACTCTTTGAAGAGAATTCTCATCAGGGAGAGACTGTTCTTCTTCAGACTCTTCAGCATGTTCAAAAGTTGTCGATTGTATTCAGCTTAATCCCTTCACATTTCATGGCAGTGTGCGCTCCTCTCCTAAGGTTTCTTAATTCGATTCCAGTTGTTGAGAAACATCCCTCAGTCCACCAACCTTTGTGATGAGTTCTTCATTACTCATTTGAGAGTGTGGCTTCTTGGAATGATGATCCACTGGTGTAGATCCCAAACAAGTCTGTTGAAAGTAACATTTTTTCAGTGTTAAACGGTAAACCCTACAGTGCTGACACCTTGAATTATTAGGCATCAGGACATCTGACTGATCTAACTGTAGAAGTGTATCTGGTGTTGCCATTGAACGCTCACTTGTCACCTGCCCTGTACGCTTTGAAGGAAGTGCTCTTACCGCTTATTCCCACATGAAGAGGAACCATGGTCACAAACTCTGGTCTGAGGTTCCTGTACAGACATTCCATGTTTCCACCTTTGCCAAGAGGTGTGCTACAAAGTGGTGTCTTTGAATGTTGATCCACTGGCTTAAGGTCCAAAGAAGTCTGTGGAAAGATGTCTTGTGAAATCACATGCTGGTGTACTGTGATCTGTGCATTACATGCCTTGTCAATTGATACAGTTGTCTGAAGGAAAATACAACCCCCATCTTCATAAAACTGACACAGTTTAATGTTAGAACTGTCTTTGGACTTCACCAAAGTGGAGTCCAAGAGGTTGTCACAATCCTTAATTGAATATGAAAGTTTATGAAACTGTCTCAGCCTCAGTGATGCGGTCAGATCATTCACAAGTTGATCAAGATTGTCCTCTGGGGTATATGGGTATGCTTTGTCAAGAATGACAAGAAATCCATCTCCACTAAATCCATCTGAATCTGTATGGTTCTCCTCATGGAGAATGTGGAGGGTGACAGTCTCTACTGAAGTATCCTTCTCAGTACTTTGGGTGAAATTATCAATCACAGCAGCCCAATCTTTCATCAGTCTCTTTAAAGCAATCACTGAAAATCTAAAAGATTATTCAGCAATTGAAAATGTATCACCTTAAATTTCATAAAGAAACTCATTATGAGGTTTTGGAATTTTTCTGGATCCGGCCAGCTATGGTCACCCAAGAAGGATTCACGGGTATGTATTTCTAACATGAATCAATAGAGGTTATCACGCGAGTGTGTTTGGGGATGGTAAATATCCTGCATTAGGAATAAACATTGTATTTAGCGAGCCTTGGCGAGCTAAATACATAGTGTTTATTCCTAATACAGGATATTTACCATCCCCAAACACACAAGCGTGATAACCTCTTTATCATATAATGTCATTCTTTAATTCTGTGCTTCAAAATTGCTTTCCCTCTCTCACAATCATTACCGAAACATTGCGAGTTTTCCTGGAATGCGCGCATTAATATATATTACGTCATAGGGTAAGTGATGTGTCAGTCGGACAGTGACAGTAGCCAATATAGTTCCAACTGAAATCTATTTCTTATACAGTGGCGAAGGAACATATACGCAAAACAACAATTGTTTGTAATTGCCTTTCGCGGCAATCCATCGGTCTGTCCGCTAGAGTAACTGCCCTTTGTCAAAGGGAAGCTACTCTAACCCTAGTCTATGAGACGTCACGGCCACGGTCAGACGTTGTTGACAGTCGGTCTGTCTTGTCATAACGTTAAGAAGTGTAGTCAGATGTACACAAAGCGACAAAACGAAACAAGGTAACAATTCGAACGTATTTCAGCCAAATCAAACTATTTTAATTTGTGGAGAAGGTTTCAAGCCGCAGAGGGTTACAAGCACAGATATGGCTACTGATCCCGCTTGGCTAGGCCTCGTGCCCTCGCAAAATTGTTCGAAATGTATATCTCCAAAGTTGCTAAAACTTATAAAATGCCTTAGCTACGTCACAGTTAGACACTGATTTTCAGTATATTAGACTGTTCTTTTGATAATGATAGCATTTATCCCTGTAGTTTATACAGATTCGGGATGGTTAATTCTGACTCGATCGCCGAATGACGAGGGCGACGCCATGTTTGTTTATAAACAGCGAAAGTAGTCCCTACTTGACCTTTGATATTTGCATCTCTATCCGCATATGACCCCAACGGATATCGTTTTTATCCGTTGGCTTTATCCTGCCGAGAAACCTACCCATTGTATGATAAATAAGATTATACTCCTTATCTCAGATCATGATGACATATTATCTCATGAATTTAGTTATCAACAACTGTATTATCAATGTACTAACTTACTGATTAAGAACCTCTCATCTGCTGTTGGTGGCAAACAGTGTAGAACAGTACAGAAATAATTTTGTAGGGAGAAATGGAGATGTTCCAATTTTTTCAAATCTCAGTTGATTTTCAATCTCATTTAAACTTTAGAAATTTCCTCTAACCTGTCTTGAATTATGATGGATTTAAAACTAATATCTCATCTCGTTGTATTTAAGGCTTTTTTCTTTCCTACATTTGACAAGCCATGATTATGCCCAAGAACTAGATAATAGTGATCAATGGCTGAGTTATTCATTGCAAGATCCAAGTATAAATGAAATTTATAACAAATAATTATATAAATAATTAAATATTTAGTAAAATCTAAATATTTTTTACATTTGTATACTTATCCTGCATTACTCCTTAAAGCATTCACTGCTTACCTTGCGACAAAAAAACGGTACAGCGTACTGGCAATGGTCCTCGGTGAAGAATTATTAAACTGTTCGTAGTCCCACTTTTCACAGCTAAATATTGAAATATACAGACTGGGGCTGGGGGAACCTTGTGACAGGGGTGGTCACTGATAGGGTCGGCTTGTTTCTTCTTGTAGTGAGTGATACTTCTGCCGGCGAGGCAGCTTCGACTTCTTTCGTGGCATCTAGACAAAATAAAGATAGATTTAGAAAATAATATGTTAATGTTAATTAATCGTCTACACTTATATTTTGTTGTAAAAACTTGCAGTAACTGGAAATTAATAAGGCAAGTGCTCCACTGGTATGAGAAATAACCTGAAAAGCTTGTTACACTGGTGGTAGAGAGTAATATTATCACAAACTTCAATAATTAATAATAACAATAATATTTGTTTAAAAAATACAGTAAGTACATCACTGCACAGTCATATTTCTTGACTACAGAAACCTAAAACACAAAAAATATATCCTTTTAAATATTTGAGATCCTGAGCTAAAAAAATTTGCACTGGTGCACAGTGCACTTTTACTGAAAGTAAAAGTGCACGAAATGATAGAAAACTTAATAACTTTGTAACCTTTTACGCCTCTAATTAGACATTGATTAACATAAAATTAAAAAAGGAGACATACACTGTTGCACATTTTAAATTATCGTATTACGGAAACTAAAAATAAAAATAATACTTGCATGGTGGTACAAACCTCTCTTTTCCCTCACTGCTGGTTCACTGTAACAGACAGGAGGATATGATAATAGTCTGAGAAAAGTTGGCTGAGAAAAATTTAAATTAATATGTTTCATGTTTATGTACGGTAAGGATTATCAAAACTTATAAGTTATTATAGATGTGAGGCACTAGGGTGATAGGAAGCTCAGTCTTGAGCAGATGAAATGTCTTTATCTGCCTAATGACCTGTTCCACTAAAATACATAGGTTCGCAATCCATTTTGTCTTCTGCCCTGAAGCACGTCATCTGGCTCAGACCTCACCTTCCAGGCGAACCATGTATTGATAACCACATGTCTGCACATTAATTTGCAATGTTAAAACCTTTGTCAGCCATGAACATAGAATAGTGAGGCACCTGGTCCAAATATCCACTGTTGAGTGTAACAGCCTTGTCTCCAGCTCTACCACAATATGCTTTTGATGCGAACACAATGGTACTGTTAGGGGCTACAGCAACCGGTACCTTCAGTGTGTTGTGGTGCTTGTAGTCACTCCATGTTGCAGCCTGCAGATAGAGATGCTTTGGAGTTTCAATAAACACTTCTGTGCAGTCAATGATTGAATGGATGTCTGGAAGAGGACGAAAACGAATAGGTTTGTAGGCTCTTATTTCCTCGATGTCTGGCATATACACTTATGTTCCTAAAACTGTTGACATTCCTCTTATCCATGAAAAAGATATCCTTGAACAAAGTGGTGCAGAAACCCGAAATCGTGCAGCTAAGCCTTTGGTTAGTAGTCCTGGTCGCAACCTCATCCAAATCATGAGAAACTTGTCAAAGGTTTGAGGTCGGCCTGCATCTTCCAGCAAGGTGCTGGACACTCTTCAACCATCTTGCCTCGGGAAGACACTCTTCAACAAGCTTATTGTTCCATGCCATCGTCTCTGAATGTAGGGGCCAACAAACTCTAACAATTCATAAAACAGTTTCTTGGAATCAATACTGGTGTAAAATTTCACACCGTCGTCGGTCTTGAGAATTTGCAAGGCGAATGAAGTCTCTTTGCTGTCAGCTTTCATCTTCTCCACTTGAGCTACAAGACGGACTACCTTCCTTTTTTCTTCAGCCAGAAGCAGAGTGAGGCCCTGGACTTGCTTGTGTAGTGCTCATGCTTGGTCATGGTACCTGCAGGCCAACCTTGACAAGCACTGGATTAGCAGCAGAAACGCACTGAACCGTCCAGTGTACTGAGACAACAGTGGGTAGGCATGGTGGCAGGTCAGGTGTGGCATCCCTGGACTGATCTGCAGAGGGGTCACCACCTAACGGGTCCAGATCTGGCTTGGAGAGAGGTGGTAGCATACCGTCTAATGATACTTCAACAGACGGCATGATGAGGCATCTTTTTTTCTTGGCTGAGGGGAGATTCACCTGGTCACTGAAGAGGAGACGCTTTACTTTCCTCTCCGTATCAGTAAAGCCAGGGTTCAAAGATGGGTAGGGATTCTCTTTTGTTGGTCTTCCATCCACAAAGTGTAGGCTGCATACCCTTGAATCCTTCTTGGGTGACCATAGCTGGCCTGCTCCAACCTGTCTGTTCAGCATGACCTTCCATCTTGTCCGAGCTTGTCACCTCTTGTTGTTGGGAAGGGTTTCAATCTGAACAACAAATGATATAAAATATTTTTTTATTGATTCATTATGCAAACACTTATCACATTTCTACAGGTGGAGGGTGCTGGGGGACTGTTTTATCATGTATCATAGTACACACTATAATAACAACTCCGACATTTGACGGCTAATAGGGCCCAGCTAATAAGGAAGAACATGACTATTTGACAATATCAGGAACAATAAACTTACTGAAAATGTCACATGATAAATAGTATTGCATGTCACACTACCTCATGAAATTTACTTTTAGATAAGTACACTTAAAATTTAAAAAATATACTTGTAAGGAGAAGCACATTTCCACCTATGGGAGGATCTCGGTGCATCACAGTGGAAACAAATACCTTGTCTCCATTTCTTCAACTTATCAGAATTATTGTGGCATGTCAACACACTACAAGTAAGAACCATGTTGAAAGTGAATGTGAGCGACAAGCTGTCGTGTGAAATAGGGCTGGGATGAGTCAAAATTTACTACCCAGGTACCCGATCCCCTTTTATCCGGCCCTACCTAGGTACCCACTGCTGGCCTCAAGAGTTGGGAACAAAATGTCTGATTGGGAATTGTTTTATTGCAGCCCTGACAAAAACTATTTAGATTCATGTATCAAACGATCAATACACTGAAGTTGACTGAAGTTTTATCTTTACTCAAACATACCAGTCAAAAGGAATGTGTGCATCGTCAGAAAGAAATGCGAACATGAGCGACTTGTGGTCAACCTATGAGCTATAGTGAGTTTTTGTCATCATGAACAATGTCACGTGAATAACCACGGTTCCAGGTAGTCCTGTGGGTACCCGGGTCCTACTCAGGACCTACCTATCCTGAGTTACCCGTCCCAGCCCTAATATTTATGTGAAATATCTTAAATACTTACCTAAAGACGGGTCAGAGAAGCTGTGAGAAGCTGTCAATGACAGTCAATGACAGTCAAATAAAAATATCTTAGGTCCAAGTCATTGAAATGAATACACCCTTTTGTGTCAAAATCACTGAAATCTTTACTTATTGTTGTCTTACGTTGTGATACATATCGGACAACAGCTGTCCCGGTGTTGTCACTGTTGTGTGATCTGCGGGCGTTGCCAAGACATCTACTATTTCACGCTGGGTGTTTTTGGTGTAGTTCATGCCGAAAGGCTTTCCTTCTGTTAATGGATCACCATTCATAAGGTTCTCGAGCATAACACCCGTACCGGCAAACTTGATACAGCCTGGGAAGGACTACTACGATATACTCCATCATGGGGACTTCTTTCTTGAGCTTTTCTGCCGCTCCCATCATACCTTTCATCGTCCTCCATTTCCTTTGATTGAGGCGCTCAGCGCGTTCTTTTCCATGTGCTTGAAGTCTTCAGAAACTACTTTCGTACCTGACTTGACACGAGAGAGTTCATTGTCCATGATCTAAAAGTGTAATATGTACTTATATTTTAAGATGTTTATATGCATTGGCTATTTTCAAAAGTAGAGCAATAACTTTCACTGTTTTAGCCAAGGTCAAAGAAGATCTCTTTTTCATCTCAAGGTCGGCAGCACGGGTTGAAAACATTTTGTCATATAGGGCAAGATAAAGTTAGTTTCAGCCATTACATAAATTGGAAACAATATAACTAACCACTGTAAAAAATGCCTGTGTGATGTTACAAGAGATAGATGTCATGACTTTTATAGATGTTATCAAATTTTGATAGCTAGGACATTTAAATATCTTTGGGACATTTTGGATGACAATCATTGCCCTAGAATATGAACCAATCTGAAACCCTTATGCCTACATGACCTCAATAGTAATTTGATCTAACAATACTGACACAATAAGGCAAATGCCATTGACATTGTGCTAATCAACAATCATGCAGGATGTTTTAATGGAATTATATCAAATTTGCTTATGTTGAACCATAAATATGATAAATATGATAAACATAAAAACATAATTAAAATGTAAAATACATGTATTATTTATATATTATGTCTACCTGTAACATGCAGACTAAACACGTGTTGTGAAAGCCTAGTGACAAGGAAAGGTGCTTACCTCACAGCGTAAGGGAGAGATGGGGGAGATCGAGGTGGGATGACTTCAGTGGTTGTGTTCGTCCGTCTGTTCGCTGTCCAGTCTCAATCTGTCACCTGTCAGATTTGGCGGGTAAGTTGATCACGTGCCTTGATCACACCCAGAAACGTACAAGCAGCATCAGGTGGCCAATCCAATGTAACCCAATGTACGAGTGTGGAAGCACCAATCACTGCATTCCTCCCTCTTTTCTGGACCTGCCCCCCACTTTGGTATCAGTGAGTGCATCTTCCCTGGGCAAGAGAGTTAACTGACTTTAAAAGTCTAGTTTCCACCCTTGCCGAACTTGGTGATTCAAGTCATCAACACACCTTCATGGAACTCACTCCACCGTCAAAATTACAATGTGGAGGGACCCAGAGTTGTTTCAAGTCATCAACACACCTTCAAGGAACTCCCTCCACCGTTGAAATTACAATGTGGAGGGACCCAGAGGTGTTTCAAGTCATCAACACACCTTCATGGAACTCACTCCACCGTTGAAATTACAATGTGGAGGGACCCTGAGGTGTTTCAGACTTTAGTTTATGAACATTGATATCTCGGAAATAGGCTGGTCCGTCGCCATTGTTGTTGGCTCTGGGCCAGACATTTCGGGTGCTACTGGCTAGGTGATGTGATAATACCAGACTTAGCCGATATATCGGTGCCAGATTGGTTCTTGAAATATATCCTTGCACACAAAGATGGATCCCAACAATAAAGACAAACTAATTAACGCATTTGCAACTGACTATCTGTGCATGCGCTTTCTCTCACATGGCCCCTGGATATGGAGATGGAATTAGAACTGATCTTCAGCAACACATGCTTGTTGTTGTGGGAACTTCATTGATGCAAATCTTGTGTTTAAAGACTAACAAAATAAAAAGTCAAAATGAGATAATTAGTTTTATTTTCTTCAAGATTATTTCTTGCAGTTTGTAAAAAAGCACCCACAAATTAATGAGAAAATGTACAGCTAATTAAGCACTTAAAAATGTACAGTTATGTGATTCACTGATATTTGAAGAGTTTTAAATTACAGGTACATGAAACAAATCACGGAAGCAACTGGAACATATTCCAAACATATTGAACAGTTAATGTTCCCTCGCGCGTTTTCTAAGGGAATTTGACTTTTTTCCTTTTCTGGCATGTTTAGGTGTGCTAGCATTTGTTTTTTGTGTTTGCCTGAGAATGTGCTTCACAAGCTCTCCCTTGCAGTTTCAGAAACAAGTCTGCAATACTTACCCAAACAGAGCTTTTCTCCTTCACTACTGGTAACGAGCTTGTCCCAGTAAAACAGGGCGGTTGTGTTTATCAGAATGCTGTCCTTAAGGTGGTCAACACACAGGGAATTTGCATTAAAGTTCGATGTACCTACTTGCTGCTGACAAATCATCTCCATTTTTCTTACAAGAAAGAAAAAATTGTCCCCACTAATTTTACGTCCTCTGTTGACAGTCTCAGTCAGAAATTGTCATGTCATAAATGCTGATGAAATATCCTGGGAAGTTATGCATAAATGCTCTCAGGGTTTTTGCTACTTGTGATTCTATTCCTGAGTGCTTAGTAATGGCCTTAATTAAAAATCCACAGATATAGAATAGAGTTTCATTTTCCGCCGACATATCTTTAGCTGTGTGTTCTACTCTGTATACTTGATGTAAACTTTGTACAAACAGCATCAACCAGTTCATCCAACAAGCACTGACACAACATGTGGACATTCCAGTCACTCTCTTGTGTGTGTAATTTTATTACATCATGCTGTGTGTTACAGAATTCGGTGTCAGTTCTTACTCTGTCAAACTGTGCCCACATCTGCTCTCTGCTCGCCACAAAGGAGCTGCTTTTTCCCAATCCAGAGAATAATGATACAAATGTAGGTGTCAGGTGGTCAGTTATTTGAGCTAGGCATGGCTGAACCCGAAAGTGAACTAGCAATGTCACACATTTTCCCCTCACATGCAAGATCCGACTTATGAATTTCATTCTGAGCTATTGCATACAAAGAATTGTGGACAGACTCCAGCATACACCCTTGCAATTGTTCAAACTGGATTTGAGAAACTTGTCAGCGTAGTTGTTCAGGCACTTGATGTAGGTGGTGTGGGCGGTATGGTCTTCCGCTGGGTCTCACTGGTAAGCTTGTAGTCAGGAGCTGGAATCAGTAATAATATCCCTTATGATATGCAATCAAAATGATATGCAATATACCAAGTATATTAGTTCAAAGTTGAACGTATGGTGTTAAAATGTAAACATGAATCAAAGCATTTATCTAGTAAGTATACAAAGTGCCTGCGGCAGTCAATTTGTGGAAGATAATCGTTATCCTTCAAAATAAGGATTTTCATTATTTTGTAATTCATAGTTATTTTAAAATTTTATTTTGAGATTGAATTACACATCACGATCAATAAATAAAAAGTAATTGGGAAAAAAAGCAGCATACTAACTCATGCTTTTTAAATGATTAGAATTTTTTCTGATATAGTATTATTCTGTTCATACGTAATGATTGCAACATTGAAAGTGCATACATGGGGTAGAATAGGTCTTCAGCAACCCATGCTTGCCGTAAAAGGAGACTAACGGGATCGGGTGGTCAGGCTCGCTGACTTGGTTGATGCATGTCATCGATCCCATTTGCGTGGATCGATGCTCATGATATCAATCACTGGATTGTCTGGTCCAGACTCGATTATTTACAGACCGCCATCATATAGCTGGAATATTGCTGAGTGCGGCGTTAAACAACAAACCAACCAACCAAGCATACACATGATACAAGAGTCCCAAAATGTTGGTTCAGTTATTATTCTACGGCAGTCAAATTAATGTATCCATGGTCAACGTATTAAATGTATACAAATTAAGATAGATAA